CTCATGTTTTCGGCGCTCAACGATTGCGCGCAATAAATTTTCTGAAAATTACATTAATTTTTGCAATTGTTAAACGTACTATGGTCTGGCTTAGCAATTAATTGCCCTTCTCAGTTATTGATTTTCCTTTTAATAACGGCCGTCGGTCTCGCCCAATCGATCGTAGTTTGCTGGTTCAGATAGCCGAGCGCAGATAACGAGGGAAGCCAGTCAAAATATCGTAGATAACTGGATAATACGAAGGATATAGTAAGGACACACCTTATTTATTTATAGATCGTTTGAACGGGATGAACAGAATTAAACGAAAAAGCAACAACTATGAAATCTTTTAACAGATATTTTATGAATTTACTTTGATAATCACATTATTAATTTAATAATAACAATTAATTAGTTTTTCATCGTGAAGATTCATATGAAATTATATCTCCAATCGTTGAAAAATATTCATTTTATATATTCTGTAATTTAAATATGTAGCTTTACACAATTTAGCAGAGTCGAACCGAAATTAATTTCATTCCGGTTTACGGTTACGTTCTAAGTATTTACATAAATAAATTACAAAACATAAATATGTTTCCAAAGAATTCGGCCTTAATGGTTTTGTTTATTTGATAAAATAATTCGGAGAATTCAAAGAGACTTTATAGTTGTCTCTTATACATTGTTTATATATCGTAATTAAAAATTCTGTTCCGGTTTCGGTTTTTCAATTGAGCAATTATAAGTTCCGGTTACAGTTAAAAAAAAATCCGGTTAATTTCGGTTCGGTTCGACTCTCTGCAATTTAGTTTTTTTAAAGAAGATAATTAAACGATAAGCTTTTATAGAAATGTATTTTAAGAGTTAAAATTTTATAAATATATTTTTTTTAATGAAATTTCATATTAAATTATAGCAACAAAATGTTATACATAATACATTTAATTACAAATTAACTGAATTCACCAAACATTTAATTGTATGTTTATTCTGTTTATCTTATAGAGTATAAGAATTACATTCACATCAATGTTTCTATATAAAATCGCTTGTGAGTATTATAATTGAAAGAAATCTTATGTTTTTCTATGTCAATTACTTTCTCTTTTATTTCTATATAATTCATGCCGTAATTTTGTTTAATGCAATTTAAAAAAATATTTAAAAAATCTCTATTGCAACAATTATGTATAAAAATAAACATTTTCATTTAATAAGAATTATAATAAAACAAAAAAGGAGTAACTCCTGCAAATTGTATATAAATCATCAATTTTCTTTAAAATATATTATTATATTAATTTAAAATAAATCTCTAACTTGTTACAAAGAGATATGTAGTGATAAAAAAATTAACTGTCCAAACATTTGTTTCTATTGTCTTTTTTTTTTATTAAATAATTGTCTACAAATTTATGCAATAAACCATGATAAAGTGTGGTAAGAACAAATTCGACTTACGAACAACCCTTTGAAACGAAACTAGTTCGTAAGTCTGGGGATACCTGTAATTGTATTGTTTTCTAAATAGACGAGAAGTAAAGAATTTCAGAACATGATTGTTGTTTGAATTATAAGAATTAAATAATTAGACGTTGTATAAACTTGAAATAAATTATAAAAAAGAAATAATTGCGTGATGCACTTTATAGTTGTTGTAAAATGAATGTAAATATAAGTTATGGAGTGGATAAGTTAGTAGGTAGGTGGATGGATTTATGCGGAAAGCAGGAGATGAAGAGCAAATCCGTCGATGGGTTGTTTCGTCGTGACGGTAATTTCGATTTTCTTGTTTGGTTATCGAATCGATTAGATCCTCTCTTCACGTTCCGGTATATAAGTAACTAGTGTAGATACAAGAACAGCGAGTGCAATTATTTATTAAGCCTGCACATAATCACCGAGTGTTTGCCAAACAACAATATTTACTTTTTATGCGAACGTTCACATTGACTGCGAACGGATTAGGCCGCCATTTGAATACGTATATCAGCATCATCAACGACAATGAAGAACAACAACAAAAACATGAACATAAAAAAAAAACGAAGAAAGATTCGTCTTCTTCGCTCCGCCGTTTTCTTCCGCTCAATTGGGACATATTTGCTGTGTGGCCTCAAGTAAACAGCGCATTAAACTCTCATTACTATTCATAAAACCGCCGCCCCATTCAATCTCTTTTTTTTTACTTCTTCTTTTTAATACTTCTTCCATTGCTGTTGTTCTCTCTTTCTCTCTCTTGCACCATCTCATGGGACTCTGGACGCATTGCCGTCGGTGACTCTAATTGGTGGCGCGACCTTTGTTCCAGCCTTATCAGCTGGAAAACAAGTTGTCTTGCATAGAGCATGAAGAGCAAACAACATGCTCGGGGAGTATGTTCAGTGGACATGGGAAGACGAAAGTAGATGGAAAAATTCTCAGTAAAGATAAGGCCGTTGCGTGCCGCACGTAGCCGTCAACTTTTATTGTGCTGCCTGGATATCCCAAATCATCGTTAAACTATTTGTAAACATCACCACAACTAATCGCCAATATTTTTGAACAAAGGAACAAACATCGTTAATACCTAATCTATACAAAGAAACTCAA